CTCTGGTGAAGCCTCTCGCCGCCCCTGCACCTCTGGCCTGTACCCCAGTTCTGTATGCATAAATAAATAAATCTTAACAAAAAAAAAAAGAAAGAAAGCTCTGAAAGCTCTAGGTTCACATGTTTGTTTGGTTTTTCTGCTGGGAGAGTTTATCAAACATTTAAAGAATTAACACACATTTTACACACTCTTTTCTAGAAAACCAAAGAGGAGAGAGCATATGTACTGGGTTCCCCAAGACCATTCCCAGACTCAATAATTCACCAGGAGGATTCACATAACTCAGTCTATAGCCACATCCCAATCATGATTTACTATAATTCTATAATTCAGTCCTCTGGGCATTTATTGGAGGTTGGTCAAGGAAGCACCTCTGCCTAGTACCAAAATTCCAGACTCCCAGAAGGAAAGTCAGTATTCAATATACACCATATTGTTTGTACAAACAGTTCAGGCACAGTAAGCCACTCTTATTAGTTCTGGGAATGGTGGGACCTACCCCCAAATCCAGTTGCCAGAAGCAACCTTGCCAGTAGGCCTTTTAAAGGACAGCAGTCAAGCCTGCTACATTAACTCTTTTTTGCTTGGCTTGGAAATCAGGAAACTTGAATTCTAGTCCCAGCATAAAATCATACTTGTACAATCAGTTTAGGCGCTCACCACTGTGAGCGGTTTTATCTGTTCTGGGAATGGTAGAAACTCTCTTGAAATCCAAGTTCCCAGCTGCCCATTAAGGGCTTGACATGTTAACTCTTGTCTGTGCAACTTCCCAATTCATTTTATGAGGCCAGTATTCTCCTAATACCAAAATCATTCATATATGATATTAAACAACAACAACAACAACAAAACCTTCAAAGCCAGGCTTTTATCACTCATGAATTTTGACCAAAAAAATCCACAACAAAATGTTAGAATCCAAACAAGCACACAAAGAATTATATTATGGCCAAGTGTACTAATTCCAGCTATGCAAGATTAGTTGAAAAATCAATATCCAATTAGTCTAATTTACCATAACCACAGACTAATGGAGAAAAATTAAATGATCATTTCAACTGATACAGAACAAGCATTTGACAAAATTCTGCTTTTACTAATAAAAATTCCCAGGAAACAAGAATAGGATACTTTTTCAAGTTGATAAACAACATCTACCCAAAAGCAAACACACAAAAACTGCAGCTAAGAATTTTCTTAAGGGTAAAAGATGAATGATGTTTCCCCCTTAGGGAGGGAAGAAAGAAAGTTTGCTTGCACCTCTCTTATTCAGCATATCACTAGGAGTTTTAGTCTGCACAGTAGGAAAAGCAAAGGAAATAAAAGGCATATATATTAAAAAGCAAGAAACGAAACTGTCTGAATTCACAGATAATGTGATTGTCTATGTAGAAAATACCAAAGAATCTGCTAAAAATGGTGAGAATAAGTGGTTTTGGCAAAATCAAGGGATACAGGATCACACAAAAATTAATTGCATTTCTATATACTGATAATGAACAATGAGGAAATTGAAATTAAAAGCACAATAGTACGTACAACCAAAGAAAATAAAATTTAGTTTATTCTCAAAAAAAAAAAATGCACAGGATCTGCATGCTGAAGATTCCAAAATGCTGATGAGAAAAGTCAAAGATCTGAATGGAAAGATACACAGACACACACACACCATGTTCATGCATCAGAAGAATCAATATAGTAAAGATGTCAATTCTCCCCTAACTGATCTATAGGTTTAAAACAATTCTTTTATTTTTTTTTCCAGGAAGGTTTCTGTAGAGACAAGCTCATTCCAAAAATGTATACAGAAGGGCAAATGTCCTTGAAAGGCTAATACATTTTTAAAGATTTATTTTTATTTTATTTATGCATACGGGAACAGGCTAGGCCAGAGGGACATGGGGGCAGGGTGAGAGGATTTACCAGAGACAGTGGGGAGCAAAACAGGTGGATCTGCTGATATACACTGCTGAGGGGAGCATGAGACAAGACAAGAGGGGTCTGCTGCGCCACGTGGGTCAGCTCCCTGCCTGGGGATGGAACTCAGTCCACAGTGGCTAGAAATAGCTTGACAGCACTGAGACTCTTTAATCCCTGTGCCACCAGGGAGGCCTGCTAATACACTTTTGTAATATAATTTTGAAAGAAAATAAAGTGGGAGCAATCACTCTGGCCAATTTTAACACTTATTATAAATCCATAGTAATCAAAATTGTTTGGTATTCACAAGGCTGGTCACATAGACGAGTAGAACAGAACAAAGAACCTAGAAATAACCCCAATACAAATATGCCCAACCAATTTTGACAAAGGTATAAAAGCAATGTAACTGAGAAAGACAATCATTTTAACAAGTAGTGTCCGACCCACCAGATACCCATTCTCACGCAACAATATGAACCTCAATTTTTTCACACAAAAATGTTATACAAAAATTAATTTTAAATAAATCATGAGTATAAAGATAAAATACAAAACTATCACTTTTAGAAGGAAACAGAAAAATTATGGGGCCTGGGAGTAGGTAAAAATGTCTTTGACATGACACCAAAAACATGAAACTTAAATGCAAATACAGACAAGCCTGGTTTAACCAAAATTAGAAATTTTGGTCTGCAAAATCTCTTAGGAGGATGAAAAGACCAGTTACAGGCTGGGGAAATATCTGCAGGCCATGTATCTGACAGAAAACTTGTATCTAGAATATACAAGGAATTCTCAAATTTTAATAGCAAAAAGCAAATGATATAATTAAGAAATGGGTAAAAGATATGAAGAGACACTAAACCGAAGAAGATAGACAGATGGCAAATAAGCATATTCAAAGATGTCCAACATCATTACCTATTAGAGAAATGCAATTAAAAACAAGGAAATATCACTACACTCCCATTAGAATGGCTAAAATAAAAATACAGTGACATCCCAAATGCTGGCAAAGATAAAGTGAAATTGGATCTGTCATATATCGCCAGTGGAATGTAAAGTGGTAGAGACAGTCTGGGAAAATTTGGCAGTTTCTTATAACACAAAACACACACTATCCAACACAGCAACTGTACTCTTGGGCTTTTGTCACAGAGAAATGAAAACTTATGTTTATATTAAAAACTCTACATAAAATGTTCATCGCAGTTTTATTTGTAATAGGCAAAAAATTGGAAACAGCCCAAATATCCTTCGATGGATAAATAGCTTAAACAGACTTTGCATACCATAACCATACCAAAGCAATACAACTACTATTCAGCAATAAAAATTAATGAAATTTTGCTATACGTTACAACTTGGGTGGGCCTCAAGGAAATGATGCTGAGTGAGGAAAAGCCTCACTTAAAAGATCTGATTCCATTAACAGAATATTCTTGAAAAAACAAAATTCTAGAGATGAACATGTTAGTGGTTGCCAGGTATTCGAGTAGGAAAAGGATGTGATTGTGACTATATTGGATAGCAGAAGGAATCTTTGTGGTGGAAGATTGTGGAGCTTACTCAAATCTACAAGTGATAAAATCGCATAATATTACATGCACAGACAGAAATGGGTGCATGTAAAACTAGGGCAATCTGAATGTCTGTGAACTGTACCAAGTCTGTATCTTGGTTGTGTAAGTTATTACAGCTAGGGGAACCTGGGTGAAGAGTACAGGGATTGTTCTGTCATATTTTTTACACATGCTGTGAATGTATAATTATTTCAAAATAAGCATAATGTGAAGTTAGTCTGAAGGACTGTATTTTAGAACTCCCACGTTTATATATTATTAAAGTAGAACTGCATCTTTAATATGAAAAGCAAACTACAAGAGTCTACATTTTTGGTTAACTTAGCAATGTAAATGAAAACGACAATGTGAATTCATAGTAATTGCACGTGGTACATTTCCACATTCAGACAGGTAAATCAAAAAGAGTTTGTGGCTTTAACATCTGTATGACTCAGGATCCCACCAGAGAAGCAGACTAACAGAAATACACATACACATACAAATTCATTCATTCGTTCATTCAGTAGAAGCGATTGGCTTACATAATTGTGGGGCTGGCTAAGTAAGTGCAAAATACGTAGGGCATGCATTTATAGAAGAAAGACCCAGGATAATCTCTCCTTTGGGCCAAATGATCAGGAGTTTTAATTGCATCCTCGAAATAATCTACACAGCAACACCTAGATGAGTGTTCGATTCAATCACTGAGGGTTGTAGCTTAACCAAGTGGACACATCAAAAAGTCACAGAACATCAGAAACCATGTGTGCTGGCAGATGAATAAATGGCTCGTCTGCTAATAGCACTCGTGGGCTTTATTTTTACGGATACCCCAAGCACAAACAACTGAAATCGGCCGTGGCCGACAAGTTTTCTCCAGGAGGGTCCCGCTTCAAGAACTTTCGAGTTGGAAGGGGCAAGGAGTCGCTTCCGAGGGGTTTCCACTGCCAGGCACCTCCCCGTCGTGCTCTCTGGCACTTAGCGGGGCCGAGTCTCCTCTCGCGAGCAGCGCACCCAGCAGGAGTCGCGCGGAACCCACCTGGAGCCCGGCGCAGCGGGTGCGGGAGCCTCGAGGGGGCGGAGCGTCAAGGCGCGCGGCGGTCGCGACGGCGCCCAGCCCGCCAGAAGAGCGCGCGGCGAGCGGACGGCGGGGAGCCAGTCGGGTAGGGCGAGCGCGGCCGGCGGTTGCGGGGGGGCGGCGAGCGTTAGGAGGTGGGGGAGGAAGGAAGGGGAAGAGGCGGAGCGTGGGAGCGCACAGTGTCAGGAATACAATAGTGCTCCGCGCCGCTTCAGCCGCCGCCGCCGCCGCCCAAGCCTGCCCAGAGCCGAGGCCTGACGGGGCCGGGCGGGCGAGGGCCGAGGGCGGGAGCTGCCGCGCAGGGGGCGGCCCCGGCGGAGCCGGCGGCCGGGGCGGGGAGCGGGGGTGGGGAGGAGATTAGGGGGCAGGTGTGAGGGAGCGGAGAGAAGAAAGCGAGCGGCGAGGGGGGCGTTGACCACTCCTACCCGACTCGCCGGCACATTGCCGGGCCCGAGAGAGCAGCCGGGAAGGAGCCGCGGCGCCAAGGTAGGCGCCACCGAGATGGGACGCGGCGTGAGCGGGCTGAGGGATGGCGCGCCGGGTGGGCAGCGGGAGCGGCGGCCTCTGGGTGTCGGAGCGAGCGCCACGGAGCGCCGTGGGTCCCGGCCCAGCCTCGCCGTGCGCGGGGTCGCCCCGACTCCGTGTCGCGGTTGCCTCGGCGTCTCCAGCGCCTCCGGACCGAGAGCGCCACTGGGCTGAGGTGAAGTGCTTGGCCGGCTGGGGGGCGGGGGCGGGCGCGGGCGCGGACGCCGGCTCTCGGCTGCCGCTCAGGGCGCCTCTCGGGCTAGAATTGAGCGCCATAACTGTTGCGGCTGTTCCCTCCGGTGCCCCCTCCCGGCGCCCCCTCCCGACGCCCCCTCCCAGCCCGTCGCCGGCCTGGGGTCGGGACGCCCGGACTCAGCCCCTCCGCGGAGGACCTGCTCTGGGCGACGCCGAGCCGGAGTCCAGGCAGCGAGGGCGCGCCCAGGCTGCTTGGCTGGTAGGGGCGGGAAGAGCCAGCGCCTGGAGCGGGGGGCCGGGCGCTGCGACGAGCGGCGAGGCCCGGAGCGAGTCGGGTGCCCCCGGAGCCAGAGCGCGGGCGCCCCGCCGGCAGACTAACTTTCCCTCCCCCTCCCGTTATTGTTCGGGCGCTGCGGGTCGCCGCCGAGCGCCGTGAGCGCCGAGCGCGGAGCCCAGCGCCCAGCGCCAAGCGCCAAGCGCCAGGCGAGCGCCGACGCCGGGCGGTCTGGGGGGTGGGAAAGCGGAAGGCTCCGCAGGTCTAACGGGAACAATTTGCCACCGCCGGGCACAGAAAGTTAACTTTTCTCCGTCGATGGAGTTGATTTTCTTCTCTTTGCTGTAAGGTAATCGCTTGAAAAAAAAAAGTACATATATATTATTTTATTACACAGGTAGATAGACCTGTCTGTGTCTGTCTGCCTACTGACTCCCTCCATTCTTTTTCTCCGGCTTTTTGAGCCTCTGCTTGGGAGCAGGGTGGCTTTACATTGCACGGACCGACCTGTGCGTGTTTGTGAGCGGGAAGGAGGGTGTGATCTTGAGTTAGAGACCTTAAAAGTACGATGTGAAGGCATGTTTAAAGCTGGGTGTCATTCTGTGGCCGTGGTACATAGGTAATTCCTAGACATTTGACTAGAAACTTGTTTGACCACTTGGCTGACTTTTCTGAGTTGCAAGGAAATCCATGGCCTCAGACGTGCGCGAGTGTTTTTGTGATGTGAGGTCCATTTATCTGTGAAGCGAGGGATGAGATTCCCCACGCCGTCTTCTCTGCTGTCTGATTTGTAAGAAATCAAAACCGTGTTGTTAGTGATTCCAGTGGCTTGGAGGGAAAGGTGAGCTTATTCTTTCTATTTGGTCTGATAAAGATAACTGTCTGCTTCTTTCTAAACTTGGAAAGTAATTGGAAATAATTTAGGTGAAAAGTGGTTGCACAACATCTTTTAAGCAACTCAGACCCCACTTTTGTCCTAAATATTTAACAGTTCTTCTCTTAAGTAACTTCCCTTCAGCCCCTTCTTGTCAGCCTGGAAAAAGGGGGTCGTTTATGGGGAGAGGATTTGGCCTAAACAAAACATTTGTGTTTTTATTTCACTTAATATTTTCATAGTGTCTGTAAATAATGGGAATGTGGAACCTGGTCCCTGTACCCTTAGAATAATGTAGTTCTCATGCTTTTATAGCATCTTGAGATTACTCTCTGGATAAATGAAAATAGATTTCTCATTCCTTTTTGTTTAGCCTAGGAGTAGTCAACTCTGTAACATATCATTTTCTCTTTAATTTAAAGTGAAGTTTGAGTTTAAATACTTGAATTGTAAAAGGATAACACCCCTCTTCAAAGGGTGAAAGAAATTCAAGTGATCTTTGGCAAATATTTCTACCACTTTTGCCACCTTTTCTTCAACTTCTCTACAGTTTTGTTAGCTAGGGAAGAGCTCAACCTAATATTGTTGTCTTGAAGCAGTTCCTTGCATTCTTTATTGTCAGTTCTGGAATACCTAGGAGTGCAATTGTTCTAGAACCCACACTTACAGCCTCCCTCTTTACTGAGTCCTGCTGCTGCCCTTGACAACATAGCAAATGTGGTCTCACAGGTAGGATCCCGTGAATCTTGGTGATAGGCACAAGAAAGTGGAGAAGGGCCTCCCACTCCTTCCTGAAGTATTTGGAATATTAGGAACCAGGAGACACTTGGAAGCAGCTTTAGGGATGGGGTATCCGTGATTCACCTCCTGGCCTGTAGAGGAAATTCCCAGGAGCAGGACAGGTGATGATGTCAGGGCTCTAATCTGAGTTGAGATATATGGGTTAGTGAAAGTTAAGACAGAAAACAAAGGATGCTGAATGTTTATAGGTTGGGTATGAGCCTGTCCTTTGATAAAGCTTGTCTCTAACCTCTCTTGTTTGTGTTCCTTCAACCTTAACAACCCATTTCTCCCCTAAGCTGCAAGGCCATTTCTTCTTTTTGCCCTTTACTTTGAAGTCTGGCTGGAAACAGGCTAGTATTTTAGGACAAGCAGGGGAAGCTGGAGTCATGGGGTGTTTGTGAAGACATGACATCACAGAGTTCTTCGAAGCCTTCATCAGTGATACAAGGATACAGAGATCAGGGCCCAAAATGAGGTTTAACATTATCATAGGACATAACACCTATCTCATGGAGCTTTTACACACACAAAAGAACTGAGGAAGGTATAGATCATATTCTGTCTTACATGAAGAAAATCTCTCAGCAGGATTACTTATAATGAGCTTTCCTTATAGGTGATGGGTGACAGTTGTGACACACCCATTTGGTATTCTAAAGTGGCTAACATGAGGACTCTTGAATAGTTTGATTTCTACCTGTTGTTTCCATTACAGTGACTGGGAAATCTGAAGCATTTGTTTGCAGAGTGGGGAGGATTTAGGATGAGTCGACATGATGAACAAATAAAGGGTGCCAGCTAGCGGCTATTATAGACCAGACCAAGCCTGTTACAGACCAGACCAAATAACTGCTACTTTGGGTTTTCTGTTTTTTTTTTTTTTTTAATCTTTGAGCCCCCATAATTATTTTTACCTTTTCCCTGTAGGTGTCTTCATAGACAGTAGCAGCAGAACTCTTACCATCAGACCTGCCTTGGTGCTTCTCCTGCAGGACAGTGCAATAGAAGGATCCTGAGGAGAATTTGCCTGACCCTATAGAAAAGGAAGGTAAGAACCCAGAGGGCAGCCTACTGTGAAAAGTAAGGGATCTGGTGTGAGGAAATAGTACTGGGCCTCTATGTGTTTATTAATATTCTCCAAGCAGTTAATAATTTAATCACTGCCTTATCCCAGAAGCCATGACTGAGCCTTGCTGCCCAAGGAGCTCCTTGTCCTTTGGCTTTTGCTGATAGGCAAGGAAACTTGAGCCTGGGGTGTTTTTTGGGATAGCTGACAAGAAAATATGGTAACAGCATGTCCGGTACACTAGGCCTTGTGTGTTGCAATCTCCTGGGAAAATTATTAATCTTTGTTAGATTTCAAAAGCTTATTTTGATATAATATTATAATTACAAAAAAGTTGCAAGAATAGTATAAAGAGCTCAAATATTCCCTTTACCCAAGGTCACCAGTTGTTAACAGTTTGATCCCATTTGCTTTATCATTTGCTCATTCTGTTTCTTTTTCTGAGCCATTTGAAAGTAACTATTGAGAGATTAATACTTGTCAAGGGCACCCTGGCAGGAAGGGTGACTCAGGTACAGCCATGGGTCATAGAAAAACATTGGTGGTGACTCAGGGCCCCATAGGCAAAGTGAAATCTAATAATTCTAGCTGTGAAACACAGATTTGTAAATCATATGGAATCTCTGATGATTTGTTGCACACTGTGCCAAATTTTAATATTATGAAAATCCACCCCAACTTTTCTGTATCCTTCAACATTTCATTCATTCAGGAAACATGTATTGAGTGTCTGCTATTCATTAGGGGTATAGGTGGTAAATCAGACCTTTCCACTGGAAAGAAACAAGGAAATTTGCCATCACAATCAGGGGGAAGTGGGTTTACAGGTGGTGATGGGAACATCAGTCTGATTAAGAATGTGAAGAGTAGATACCTGGGAGTCCTGTGGGTGTGAAATGTGAAGATTCATTTTTCCTTGGGGCTTGCTGTTCTTAGTTGACAAGGTTCAGGAGTTAGAGAAGCCTTTGGTGTCATGCACCTGGCACAGGCTATGGTCCAGCTTAGATTCTAATCTAGTGTTTGATCTTGGCCAGTTACTTCTCTGGGCCTCAGTTTCCTCATCTGCCAAGCCTCATCGCTGAGGTAATAATTAATTAAAGTAATAATTGCTCTGTAAACATTCATTTCATAGGCAGTATATGGGGGAAATAGCATGGAAGGTATTGGTATTAAGATGGGATCCAAAGGGATATTTCTATTTTTTTTTCTAAAAATATCTATTAATTATACTGTGAGCTCTAATGGAGATTACTATATGAAATAATAAGAGCAACAATGGTCTGTTAACCATTTTCTGTGTGCTGAGCACTTGGGATCTCTCTCTGAGGTGTGAGGCTCAGAGAATTGTGAAGCAAAGGTAACTTTCTCTGGATCAGACAGCAAATTAAGAAGTATAATGCTTCTCTGTAGGAAACCAGCAAGGTGCCCTGGAGCCTGAAGATGAACAGAAACAAGCAAGGTAAAAGAGAGGGGGTTGCTAACCAGCGGGAACAGCAGGTGTTCCAAGGGCACTGAGGTGGGAGAGAGGTGTGGAAAGGATCCATAGAGGTTTGACTAGGACCTGGGGAAAGAGATGAGGTAGGTAGAGGAAGATTGACAGGGCCTTATGGGACCTCGTTAGGAGCTTGTGACTTATTCCTAGGGCATTGGGCGGCTGCTAGAAGGTGTTTTTCACCTATACCACACAAGAGCTGTGTGGACGAGTGTGTGTGTGTGTGTGTGTGTGTGTGTGTGTGTGTGTGTGTTTAATCCAGAAAAGCATCTAGTGAGGCCTAAAGAAAGTCATTTCCAAGCAGGATTTATACCACAATATGACTGTTAAGTGCTTTGTTGTTGTTCCCTCTGTTCAAAATAGTCAGTTCTTTAACTACACCTGTCTGCTTTATGCCTGTAGAGCAGTCAGAGACACTTGGTCTCAAACATGTTAGAAACTTAAAAAAAAAAAAAAAGTTGTTTCTCCTTCAGTGTCCCACTTTGTGAAGCAAATTGTGTAGTTCTTAACCAGTTTTTAACTGTCTACCATTAACATGGCAGAAAGGGTTGTTAGGTGATGGTGGAAGAAGCTAATCCTAGATAATACATCTGACAGAAGGTTGCATAAAAAGCATAGATGATGTTTTTTAGGCTGCATTAAGGGAGATCGTTCAGTCTTCTCAAGCCCAGTCAAATGGGGATTGGAGAGTAGAATTGGGAGAAAAAGTATTTCCTCAAACCTGAGTTCATCAGTGTTAGAAGTGAAACTGTTGAGTATAAGATATATTTTTGTTTAAGTTTATCATGATAAATATATTTCAGTCAGAAACTGTTTTTTTGTGTTTTTTTTTTTTTGGTGTTTGCCATCTGTGATGGCACTGTATTTGTGAGAATCTGGGAAGACATAGACATTTTTTCAAAACTTTATATATTCTCATCCAGGTAATGCAGGTTTTTATTTGACACTATTTCCTGTGTGCAGAGTAAATGTCACAAACCAGTGTACTCTTCCCATATGTACCCCACAAAAAACATATTTACTTTGAAGTAGCTTTTCCTTCTCCTTCCCCTCCTTTCCTCTCACCCCCTCCCTCCCTTCCCTACTTCTCTCCTCTCCCTCTGTCCTTCCCCTTACCTATCTATTTTAGAGGTTTATTTGGTGGAAAAAGAGGTAAGCTGGTTGCTCTATGATTTAGAATGGCTGTGCTCACACCAGTGGTTGGGAGACTGGGTACTCTCCAGAAGCCTTAAGCTGGGATGGCTCATCTCTGCTCCAGGGGGTCTGTACTCCAGCTTTTTCTAGTCTTTACTTTTCAATATGTGGTCTCAAAGTTACAAAGCATAGCAAGCAAGAGCAAGTGACAGTACTTGAGCACTTCTCAAGTGTCTACTTAAGTCACATTTGCTATTGTCGCATCAGCCAAAGCATGGAAATGCTTCCATGGTCGAGCCCAGAGTCCTTATAGGAGGGGGTCATCTAAAGATGTGGATGCAGTGAGGTACCCCCAAAATTGGGGACCATTACTGTGATAAGAAATTTAACCTTTTTCCTTCAATAAATTTTGTTAAGCACTCATTTTTAAATGTGATATATTCTTCAGCCTATCATATAATTGTGCCACCTTCTCGTCCACCTAATGTTTTCCTCTAGGAGAATGTGAGGGGGGGGGACAACATTGGGCCTCTGAATTCTTGTGAATTGTTTGACATCACTTATCTTCTGTGCCTATTTTCAAAGGCTCTGGGTTTCCTCAACTTCCCGTTCAAACTTTACCACAAAATAGTAGTGTACTAACTAGATAGACTATGCTAGATTTTGTAGATAAACAAAAATATAGTTAGTTGGGAATTCATCACTACCTGAAAGATGAGGGAAACAATTGCAGCCTTTTCTTGTAACTGTTATATGGGAATGTAATCTTTACTTGGGCATTATAATGACAAAGGATTCTCTGTAGATATGTTTTATTTAAGATTTTAACATCTCCCTGTGGTTCATTTGAAGAATCCATCATTATGCTGTGAAGTGAGAGTCCAATGATTGGCAATTGAGGGGCGTCAGTCTTTGACATTTGACAGTGAAGATTTCATAAGTCAACCTCTCGTGTAACAAATAGATGTTACAACTGACTTGTGACCTAAAATATTTGAAAATGCAATAATTGGATCCTAGGAAGCACATGTGGGAAACTAAGTAGAAGGCTCACTTTGTATATCTTGTTTAAAAATATTTATTTATTTATTCATACAGAACTGGGGTATAGGCCAGAGATGCGGAGGGTGAGAGGATTCACCAGAGACAGAGTGGGGAGCAGAACAGGCCTACTGACAAAGTACACTGCTGAGAGGAGCAGCAGGCAGGTCAGGAGAGGTCTGCTGTGCCATGTGGATCACCTCCGGGGCATGATTGAACTCATGCTGAAGTGGCTTTAGCTTGTTAGTGCTGTGCTTTTACCCACTGCGCCACTAGGGAGGGCCCTGTATATCTTTTTTTATATAAGATTGACTTTTATTTATTTATGCATACAAGAACTGGGGTGTAGGGCCCACCTTGGTGGTGTGACAGGTTAAAGCACATCACTGTGAAGCTCTCCTCAGCCACTGTAGCACAAGTTCAAACCCAGGCCAGGGAGGTGACCCTCATGGCAAAACAGACCTTTCCTGACCCACATGCTACTCCCCTCAGCAGTGTAGTTCAGTACATCTGCCTGTTCTGCCCCCCCACTGTCTTTGTTGAATTCTCACAACCCACCTCACCCCCTGCACATCTGGCCTGTACCCCAGTTCTTGTATGCATGAATAAAAGATAAATATTTTTTAAAAAGTAAAAAGAACTGGGGTGAAGGCCAGAAGTGCAGAAGTGGGGGCTGAGTGTGGTATGTGTGAGAGGATTCACCAGAGACAGGGTGGGGAGCAGAAAAGGCAGATTTTTGCAATATATTGTTGAGGGGAGCAGCAGGTGAGATGGGAGAGGTCTGTTGCATCATATGGGTTAGCTCCCTGGTCAGGGATCAAACTCATGCTGCAGTGGCTTCCTATATATAGCTTCATAGCTCTGGGACTTTAACCCCTGCACCACCAGGGAGGCTCCTCTCTTAGTGCATCTTAAAGATATAGATTTCAGCCCTCCTTAGTGGTGCAATGGGTAAGGGTGCAGCATTGCAAGCCAGCTGCAGCCACTTCAGTGCCAGTTCAATCCCCAGTCCCTGGAGGTGATCCACATGAGGAGGCAGACCTCACCTAACCCACTCGCTGCTCCCCTCAGCAGTGTACTTTGTCGATCGATCTGCCTGTTCCGTCTCTGGTGAATCCTCTCACCACACCTGCATCTCTGTCCTATACCCCAGTTCTGTATGCATACATAAAATAAATCTTTTTTAAAAATATGTATATTTCTCCAGGTGATAAGACTATTTTCCTTCTTTCCTCCTAGAATAAAAATGAAAAATCTCTGACATTTTAAAAGTCAGTGACTTGGAAATAGCCATCAAAATTATAAATGCACATATCATTTGACCCAGCAAACACTTCCAGGAATTTATTCAGCAAATATTTGCATATTATTTGGAATATCACTTATAGTAGCAAAAGATTGGTAATATTCCAAGTGTCAATCAAAACTGGTTATACAGTAGAACATTGTACTGATATTGCATGATCTCTGAGATGTAACAAAAAAAAAGTAGAAACAACAGTGTATTTTGTGCTATTTGTGTAAAGTAGACAGTGGGGTAATAACTTAGAAATTTTGACCTGCATAGACACAAATATTTCTGAAAGGCTATTCAAAACACTGATAGCTTTGGGGTATATATGACCTGGAGTAGAGGGTCGGAGAGGTATTTTCACTGTGTAAACTTATATACCTTTACCATACCTTGCCTTATTTTTAAAATTATATACATTTAAAATGAGATGATACATAGTGATGGTGATATGATTTCCCATTAACCCAACCCAATTTTACCCCATCTAAGCTATTAAAAATTATTTCCTATAAACCTTTTTCCTAGAAATGACTCAAAACAATGTAGTTACAAATTTTTACCTATAGCCCTGCCTTTTCCAGAATAGAATATTGTGAAGTCATATAGTATAGCCTATATTGGTCTGGTTCCTTTTTATCACTGAATAATTTTCTGTTGTATGTCTTTACCACTGTTTGTTCACTCACATCTTGAAGGATAGCTTGACTGCTTCCTGTTTCTTGACAATTATAAACAAACTTGAAATAAACATTAGGTTGCAGTGAACATAACTTTTCCATTCATTTGGGTGAATACCTTGGGATGGGGCTGCTGAGTTTTTGTAAGAAACTGTCAAACTGTCTTTCAAAGTGATTCTACCATTTTGCATTCCCACCAGCAGTAAATATGAGGTGTCTGTCAAAGTCCATTTTCCTGAATATAGGTGTCCACTAGTTCAAGAAGTATTTCTTCAACAGACTTTTTCTGCTAAATTGCTTTTGCACCCATTTAAAAAATGTGATGATGCTTGTGTGGGTCTATTTCTGAACTCTGTTCTTCATTGATCTCTGTGTGTATCATTTTGCCATTACCACACTATCTTGATTATGACAGATTTATATTAAGCCTTGAAAACAGGTAATATGAGAACTCGTACTTTTTCTTCTATATTAGAATTGTAGTGGTAAGAATGCACATCCTTGTTCCAATCTTGGAAAGCAGGCCATCTTTCACTATTAATTACAATGTTAATTGTAGGGTTTTAAAAAATTATATGTGTGCTCTGTTGTGCTGAAAAGAGTTCTCACAACAGGCCTAAGGCTGCTATCTTGAAAAGGCTTGCTTGCAAAATTGGCCTTTGGTTGGTGATTGAGAAATTGGCATTTCAGTCATTTTGAAAATATTTTATTTATTCCTTTTCTAATGCTCTCCATTTCTTTATGCTAGTGCAAATTCCCACCTTAATCTTAATCTTTCTGCCTGAAGAATTTTCCTTTAACATTTTTTTATGCTAGTTCTG